TGTGCAATCGCTATTTCCCGCGAGCGCCCGCTTTTCTCGCGTGCGCCCGCTGTTTTCTACATGCCTGCTATTTCCCGCACGCGCCCATGCCTTCTCTCTCTCTCTCTCTGCCACTCGCGGCCACTGATTCCGCGTGTCCAATCTCTCTCTCTCTCTCTCTCTCTCTCTCTCTCTCTCTCTCTCTCTCTCTCTCTCTCTCTCTCTCTCTCTCTCTCTCCCTCTCTCTCTCCCCCAACACAGCGCAGAAGTCCCTGCTCCAGAGCTCTATGAGAAGAAGAATAAGAAGAAGATGCTTAGTATTGCTTACCGATGGAGGGAATCTCGGCGGCGGGGCAGGGCGGTGGCGAATCCATGGAGGCCGAGGCGGATGGGGGCTGGGCGACGACGTCTCCACCTCGTTCCCGTTTGACGTCCAAATTGAACGGGGTGCACATCTCCAAAGCGGCGGGAGTTGGGAGGTCGGAGGGTGTTTGAAGGGACGGCCTATGTTCGAGCGGTTTCCCGCCCGAATGTTGAAAAACAGGCGGCCTATCTGGGCCGCCGATCTCACCAGATCGACGGTCTATTTAGGCCATCCGTTTTTCAAGATGTAGGTGGTCCTACCGGACACGGTTCGATTTGTTTTTGGGTTGGGAGGCCTCCCTGCCCCAAAAAAAATTGACCCCCCCCCCCCCAATTCGAAATGCGCAAATGGCAACCGGGGCGGAACCGGCGTGGTCCACCGGCCGGTCCAACCGGCCCGGTTCCGGTGGGGGGAGAGGGCCCTGGTGGGACCGGGTATGCAGCCTTGCTATTTTCCAGTTTTTAAGGATTTTATCCCCTTTTTGCCGTCCCCTCCTTTCCCCTACTCTCTACACGGGTCTCTACCCCCTACCTGCCTACTAGGCTATTATGGTACATGTACATCCTACTTGTCCTCGTAACTAACCTCAACACTTCGTGTCCAGCAATTCGGCGGAGATGTCCGAATTGCTGCATTTTGTACCTGGAGGCTCACAAGAGCGTTTTCCTTCGGCCTGGAAGTGTTCTTGTTTGACTCTTGGATTGAGATCTACAGACTCTCAAAAAACTAGTTTCTTCTTTTTTACCACATTGCCTACTTTATTACCTTTAATTCTTTTTTGTACTCCATATCAAACTGAACTTTTGATCTCCTACCCACTCTTGGATTCTGGTTCAGGGCGGGGCGCATGGCACACTAAGACGGGCCCGAACCTCATCTGGCCCGTCTGAGGATCTCGGACCACCAGTTGTGGGTAAGGGCCCCATTCTTCCCAGAACCCTCCTCCCTTCGCCTCCCTGTGCGTGTACTGCGATTAAGGTCCGCCAGGAGGGCGACTCTAATGTTCTCCAAGACCCTTTCCTGATATGCCTGTAGCGGTGTGCAAGGCAGGTGATGCCGAAGGTGTTCTTTGAGTAGGAGGCGCATAATGTGGGAAGGCGAGGGGTGATGATGAGAGGAGAGAGAACGTACCTGGTGTATCCTGGTGATCGGCATTGGTGTTGACGTCATGAACATTGGTCTTCGACTTTAGAGTGATCCAGTTGCAAGAACGTAGATAACGCTAGATAGGCTGAGTAGGATAGGCTGGGCGCTGGGCACCAGACAGTAAGTGCGACATTGGATACAATGTTGGTGTGACCAGAGAGCGGCGACATGGACATTCGAGTTCCATGTATTGCTCTTATTTGGACAGTATCTTGGTGCGTTGCACCCTCTGCTTGGTTCATGACTATCTGAGCTACTTCGTGATTTCGCAACTTGGATTTGTCTATCGCTCTCGCTCATATTCCTTGCAAAAACAAAACAAAACATTTGTCCGTGGCCCAGAGAGCGAGAGATAGATAGATAGATAGATAGATAGATAGATAGATAGAGAGAGAGAGAGTGTTATGAACCCAGATCGTGATACAGTTCTCAACAATGCAAGTCCAGAATAATGTCCATCGGCTGATAATTACAAATAGTCAAAAATCGTGATCAGATAGAATGAGGTGAGATATCATACACAGATGAAGAGGGAGGAGGGAGAAGAGACAAAGGAGAGGAAGTAAAAATGCCCACTCCTGCTTCGGGCTCCCTCCTCTACTGCCACCTCGTCAATCAATAGTCTGAATGAGTATCCAAGTATCCTCAATGTGCCACGCGGCACGTCCAATCAACTCCACATCAGCATCTGGAGCAATGTCGACATGAAGACCACCAGGTACGTATCCTCAAACTCCCCCACAGCCTGATCTCCTCCTGAAGTAACGACGAACAGAACAGCAATGCCGAATATGTAGTCCCAGTCACAGAGCACGTGGACAACAGCCACGTCAGCGTGATACACGTGGCAGCAGCCACATCAGCGAAGGTGCATGGCAGCTGCCATGTCAGCAGGCCAAGAAGACAGGAGCAAGCCAGCCACCATGCCGGAATAGCAGCACCTCGCCCAAGTCACAATGCCAGCAGGGTCGAGCCAGCGTCGCAGCATCAAAGTCAATGCGTGAAGTCAGCATCAACGCAAGACAA